TAATTAACAATATAAATATTCTCAGGGTGCTCTCAGGTCTTTTCTTTTGCACATTCATTTCCTCTGCTTCACAGTCTTTAGTTAAACTGGCTTGAAAAATTACATTTTTCAGCATGTGCATGTTTCTTGAGGAACAGTTTTAACTTGAATAAAAGTTGATTTCTTGCAGCTCCTCAAAAGCTGAGAATTTATGCAGAGTATTCAAGGCTAATTTCCTGTAGTTTTCCAACTGAGGCTGTCATCATGATCTACAGAGAACAGCACCCAGCCTTACATGAGATATAGCAATGATTCCATCTTCTTGTGTAGTGAAATAAATATGTATGTGTGATGTATCTACACATCTATAGTATATGCCCTGTACATATGTCTTTGGCACTTCACTTAAATATGTCAGTTAAAATAATGTGTTTGAATATTTAGCCCATAAGCAAAACACTGAGAGATTATGAACTTTGAATAAATTCTGATAGTTAATATGCATATGCATTTACCTTTGCAGGGCAGTACCTGCCTTACAAAATGGTGTTGTACTGCAGAATTGCCTTTGATTTACAGCTCTACCAATGTGCTGATTGACTCAAAGGAATTGAGACAGCAGGTCTGTCTCTGGCATAAGATTTAATGTATTTCTTTTAACTGTTTCTTTCTAAGTGCAAGGCAACTGCACCAGTTAAGAGGCACTGGCATGTTTTAAAAGGGCTTTTCCCTCACAAAAGCAGGTATAAACCATAGGAAATCTAAATTTGTCGCTGCATGAAAATCAGAGGGTAAAGAGAGGCTGTTTGGAGGGCTCATTGTTTGAGAATTCCTTTTAGGAACCTTTCCATCAGCAAATCCGTAGACATCTTCACTTCTTACTCTAAGCCAAGCAGAAAAAAAACATTATGCTTTCCTGTCAATGCCTTGGATTAAAAATGACTAAACGAGCATTTGTGGCAGGTTAATTGCTCCTTGGGTGCTTGCAAGCCCTGCCCAGGGTGGGTGTGAATATTAACTGCAGCCAGCAGCTTTCCGCGCGGGGCGGCCGTGCCAGCACACGGTCCCCAGCAGGCTCCTGCCCAGCCAGCGTGTGCAGCACAAGGTCAGCTCGACCTTCCTCCCCTGCTCCCTTATTGTTTCAGCTGTTGCTTGTCTGAATCAAGAAATCTGCTCCCAAAGCAGAGCAGCAACCCTGAGATGGAGGGAGGGGAGGGCAAGGGGCTTGGAGTAAAACTATTATTCTTTAAAGGGTTCATGGGATGGATCCTATGGCACAGAAATGTTTAGTCGATGTTTCAAGCCCACCTGTCTATCACACAGGCACAGAAACGCTGCTTCTCTTTTCTCCAAAGGCTTATATTCATATTAAAGCAAATAAATGGTGCACTAACATTTGTATTCACCTCAGATTAGTTGGAGAAGCATGTACTAACACTTGGAGGTTGTCAGGATTATATACAATCAAAGCAAGAATTGTGTTTTTATGACTGCATATAAACATGTGCCCTAGGGCTTTGTTTCCTCTTGGTATTTCATTCTGCTCAGATCTCCAGCTCTCTGAGTGTGTGCACCCCTGGAAATGTGGGAAAACGCTCTAAGAGAAGTGACAGCAGAACTAAAGAGTGGCCAGGGCTGGTCTTTCCACTCAAGTTTTGGGATTACTCTGAGGAGGCTGCCTTGTCTGCTCTCCAGAGGCTGTCATCATGAGTGGCACTCAGATAAAGTCAGGTTACTTGGTCTGATCAGGGATGTAACATTAGAAATAGAATGTGCAGTAATCTTTCATATTCATCCAACCCCTCATTTCTTTTGTGCCTCATGCAACTGTTAATGCATTTATTCTTGCAATGCTGTCTTGGAGCAGGGTGGTTCTGTGATCCTTCTTTTGCAGGGAGGGATCTGAACTGCAAAGTCACGTGGGGAATGTCAGGCAGGAAAACTGAAGGCAGGAAAGGGAGCAGGACAGCTTTCTTAAAACCTTAGAGACATTCCTGTGCTGGAGGCTGATCCTGGGGGAATGAGGATGGAGCAGGGCAGGCACACAGGTGTGGAGTGACTCACTTTTACGTGTCCAGTGCCCTGCACCTCCTCAGATGTCTGAGTGGCAGCAGCAGGTACCATGGTACCAGCTGCATTCTTGGGATGCATATTGGTGACCCTTAGTGGTGAATTTGGGCATCCAGGATAAGGACAAAGTCTGCTTTGGGCTAGGGAGACAACCCCAAGAAGCATTTATCAACTGAGATTTTTTCAGTGATGCATTACCACTGCTCTGGACCCTGTCATATGGTTCTTTCCTACATGTTTGCTTTGCTTTGGCTTGCTTTCAGTTTTCTTTGCTGTCCCCAGAGATTAATTCAGCTTGTTGTGTGGATCCAGCTGGGCACAGGAGGGAGGTCATGGCCTGAGATTAAGTTTTGATCTTGACCTCATCCCTAGTTTTAATTTTGTGACCAGAATAGAAGTCAAGTATAAATGTATGGACTTTGAGTCTGTCTTAAGTCTCTGACACATCTTAATAGTGACATCCTTCTTGACACTGCAACATGAAGAATTCTGTACCAATTAATTTTGTATCTTTGGATGTAACTTTGGCTTTTAGCTGGATTTAGCTCCATGGACCAGACCCCATCTGCTTTGGTGGGTGAAGGGAGATGCAGATGTCTCAAAATGTAGCCAAGTTCTTTTGCAGTGACTGGTCAATTCTTGATGTAAATAACAAACTCCAGTGACCCAGCAGCAGTCTCCAAGTTTGTTATCTCAGCTGGCCCAGTGGAGGGCGTGAGGGCTACAGCCAGGGCTGTTCCCAGGGCCATCCTGCTGCCCTGCAGGTAATTTCAGGGTATGCTCCTCTGCAAAGCTGGCAGAGCAGGTATGTGAGTGTGATAGCACCTACTGAAAGACATCACTTGTAATCCTTTGCAGGCTTTTATTTTTCCTTTTCCTCTTGTGCTATTTTTACTCTGGTTTGAACCAGTGTTTAATTTGCCTCTTTTCACTTCTTGCCTCTAATAACAACTCTCTCTCTCATCTCACTGCTTTGCCTGATCATTTTTCCTCCCTCTTTGTTAGATGTCTGGTTTCTCATATTCTCCTTTCTTCTCTCCCCCTGTCTTGCACACTCCTCCTCTCACACATTCTCATGTATTGTTTATCTGCACAGCTCCCCAGGGCACATTCAGCAGGTGTCTTAGGAGGCAGGGGAGAGGGTCACAGCCCTGCCAGCTGCCTGGACACATGCACACAGAGCCATTTCCACCAGGGAGGCAGGCCAATGTCTGCCAAGGAAAGCCAGCTTTGGTAGCCCAGCAGGGCCAAGCAGGCAGTGCATGGAGCCTGCTGCCTCTTGATGCAAAATGTGCCCCTTTAACCACTACCTTGTCCCCCTGTTTGTCCTGTTGTTCTGTTTCCATTTCAGCAGCATTCTGATGGCATTTTCTGAGAGGATTCTCTTGTGCAAGGCACAGTTAGCACACTGCCTCCCTGTCAGAGCTAAAGGTGTGAGCTGGCAGCCTGCAGGAGGAGGGTCTTTACAAACCCACCAGGCAGCAGCTCCATGGCCCCACGAGGGTCTGGGTCCAGGTCACTGGGCTCACTGAACCCCTGCTTTCTTTTGACCAAGCTGTTGCAGTGGTGCCACGCCTTAATCTCGAGCTCACCCCCTGACCCTGCTCCTTTGCAGGGGTGTTTCAGACCTGTAGAAAAGTGTAGAGCATTGGGAGTCCCTGCACGACAGCTGGAATTCATGGGGTGTAGTTTCCTCTGGACTGGTCTGCCACAGCTGGCTGACTGTGGTCTCTAAGGGAAAAACTCTGCATTTTGATTGTTGTCCATGCCAGGGTCCCATTTCTGACATCTCTGCAGTGTGTCCCCTGCTTGAAGGACTTTTGTGGTCTCTCATACACAGAGAGTTATTTTCAGGCTTATCTGCCTGTCCTCTACCACTCAAACACAGTCATACCATAGCACTGGCTTCAACAAAATGGTGCAGGATTACCAAAATTGTGTTTTCCTCATGAAAAGGGCAGCCAGGCTTGCCACAGCTGGCTGACTGTGGTCTCTAAGGGAAAAACGCTGCATTTTGATTGTTGTCCATGCCCAACATGGTCCCATTTCTGACATCTCTGCAGTGTGTCCCCTGCTTGAAGGACTTTTGTGGTCTCTCATACACAGAGAGTTATTTTCAGGCTTATCTGCCTGTCCTCTACCACTCAAACACAGTCATACCATAGCACTGGCTTCAACAAAATGGTGCAGGATTACCAAAATTGTGTTTTCCTCATGAAAAGGGCAGCCAGGCTTGCCACAGGACTGGTTTTCTGTCTTTCTGCCTTTTATCCCTCGGGCAACAAGCAGCTCCCCATGCACTTGTAATCAAACATTGAGGGCACCTTCAGCTCCCTGTGCTTGTCTTACCTGTGTCACCTGCCAGTCCTGGCTCAGCTCCCCATGGCAGCAGGTTCCTTCAGACAGGCGTGGGGCTGTGGGACCATCCCCAGGCAGTTCCCCCCTTCTCTGGGGCTCTTCTCAACCCACTGCAAGGCTCCAAGGCAGCAGAATTCAGTGGAGGGAAGAAGTAAGAGTACAACCAAGGATATTGCTGGGTAACTCCACGTACAGCTGGGACTCATCTCCCATCTAGCAGCTCACGCATGCACACATGTATTTTGGGTTTTCAAAGAGTGGGAGTAGTATGGTCAAGTTTTCCTTTTGCATTTTCAGTTTGCTTCTCTCCACCCCCAACAAACATCTCTCTGGCAGAAAAGACCAGGAGAGCAGTGTACCTAAGATCTGCCAGATGCGTGACCCCCTGCTGATAAAAAAACCCTGAAAATCATCATAGGCCTGTTTAGTTATTCTTGTATTGTTAAAAAGAGCTGAGAGCCTGTCTCAGCAGCAGTGATTTAAGTGCTCCTTCAGCCCTAAATACTGCTAGAGCCACCCTGAAGGAGCTTTCTGTGCCATTGCCAAGGGTGTTGGGCCAGCCCTCAGTGACTTTGTGTCCTTTTGTCACACAGGATGCTGCAGGACAAGGCTCACATGGCCTCGTGTGGAGTCAGCATGGTCCCATCACCTGTGGATGGAGCTGGCTGCTGCCACCACTGATGGGAAGATTGGGGTCTGACAGCCAGGAGCTGGAGCAGACACAATAGCTGTCTGGATGGTTAAGTAAGTCTGTTTTTTCCCATTTCTGTGGGAGTTCTGAGGAATATGTAAACTGTTTTCTTGCTTGCTGTTTTGGAACAGAAATTAAAATCTCAAATGGTTGATGGCAGAGGTGTAAAGGAAACAAGAAGTCTGGATAACCTCAATATTTCATCTTTGATTTTGACTTCCTAACATTTTATTTACTTCTTCAGAAGCCAAGAAATCAGTTAGCATGCAGAATAAAAGTGTTTATCAAGAACAGAAAGGAAGAAAAGTTTTTCCATGTTCTTTTTCTCACAAAAGGTCTAAACATACAGCAAAGAAACATTTAAAAAATACAAAAGAAAAAAAGAAGCTGATGGGTAAGAGGAATAACTGATGACTGAAGGGTGTATAGGGAATGTGCTCTTTGTGTATCTGCTATATCATGAGCCAAAGCTAAGAGTCAAACTGAAAGACATCCGATTAGTTAACAACCTCTCCATTTAAATACATTCCAAAAAGTCAAATTATAGCAGGAAGAATCTGGGCTCGCCTCCGTCTCTGCCCCAAAATATCATTGTTCATTCTCACAGCCTGGCCAGAGGCCAGCTGCTTCCAGGCTTTTAGCCACAGGGTGTATTTAAAAACCATTCTGTGTTCCTGTTTTTCTGTCAGTCCAAGGGAAATCACTGTAAACAACCATTTTCAAGTGTGCCCATGTCCAAACAGAGGCTGCTGCTGGGCTCTCTGGGGCTGGTTGGGGCAGGGGGCAGAAAGGATGAGGAGCTGCAGAGCAGGGCACTCCAGCCTCTCCTTCTCCTTCAAACATCTGCTCAAGCCTGAGAAGGGGTTTTCCAGCCAGGATCAGGCTCTGCAACAAACCATGGGAGCTGGTTTGAGCTCTGCACATGACACCAGTGGAAATCTGGTCAGTGGACTCCCCTGATGGTGGCAGTCCATCACAGCCTGCTGGGCTGGATGAAACCCCAAGGAAAAGACAAAGCTATTGCACAGAACTGTCAAAACCCCCCAGACAAAACAGGTGAGGGAGGCAAAACTCCAAGGAAAGCCTCCAGCTGAGAGTGTGTTTGGTCCTTGTTTTTCCTGTGGATCTAGGCATGGATTTTGTGAGCTCCCCAACTCCACAGCCTGACTGCTGTGTGACAACACAGGACCAGTGAAGTCCTCTCGTATTTCTTTCAAATTACCTCTGCAAGAAAATTAATTTTAAAAAAGTCAAGACCCTTTCTCCCCCTTATTTCAATTGCACAGTGGGAACAGGGAATAGTTATTTGGGTTTGGGGGTTTTCTGTATTTTCTATATACATGGACATTTTCCTTTGAAAATACGCGAAGAAAGCAAGCAAGCAGTGAAAGCCAGCTCTGATTAAACCCTAAGCCTCTCAGCTGTTGCATTCATTTCCTTTGCCCTGTTTGCCTTCTTTACAGTCTAAAAAAAGCTTCTGCACTGTGCAGGGCCCTTTTGCCAGGGCTGGGGGTGGGATGGCAGTGGTGCTGAGGACTGCTGAACCACTGGGACTGTGAAGGCCACTGCCCTGCTCCACTGCAGCAGCTGCCCCCTCTCCCCATCATTTCTGTGGCACCTCTGGGAGCTGGTACTGCCACATCCACTTATTTCATCAGGGGGAAAACAGATCCTGCATCTCTATTCCAGTTTTGTGGCAATTCTCCTGAGCTAGGAAAGGATGACCACTCACAGACCATACCAGGTGCAGTCAGAGCCTGCTTCATTCCCTGCAAGGCTTGCTGTGCCCCTGCAGAGTTTGTGCGCTCAGTGCCTGGTTCCCCCCGCAGGCAAAGACCTGCTCCCAGAACAGAAGCATTTCCAGACCTATTTCTGTCCTCTCATGTGAGAGCTACGGGCTGGTTTCATCATGTCTCAGTACTCAGATATATATATATATATCATTTGTAGGATGTCTCCATCTCTGCCTGGGACTGTGTTTGCTCGCACACATGCACTCGCACAAACTGTAGGTGGCACTTTGAGAATTAGCAAAGATGCTGCTGTGTCCTGTGCCGGGGCACGGCTCTGTGCACCAGCCAGGGGGAAGGAGGAGCAGAAAAATGGATCAGTTACTAGGGAGAAAGGCAGAGATGGAGCAGAGCCTTCCCGGGAAAAAAAAAACTCGTTCCTGCCTTCACTGGGATGCGGCATTCAGCTGCTTACAGCCTGTGGGAGAGACGTGCCAATACCCTGTACTTTTCTCTACAGTATGTTTTATTTATCTGCCTCAGAGGAGGAGGTTTGCTGTAGTTATCACCCCAGGAGTTCAGCTGGATACAAATGTTAACCAACTGGAGGGGAAACAGCTTGCTCCAAAGGTTTTATCGTTGTTTAGTACGCAGCGAGCCAGTGCCAGGCACGGATTATGCATTTACAGAGCTCCTGGCCCTCTCCTGCCTGAATTGTCAGGAGGGGAATTCAAACCACACTGATCAATTTGCTGTCTGTCAGCAGCTGGGAACTGAGGGGCAGCCCTGGATCGATCCATTCTTGGAGCGCTGTCCTCATTTCAGGGATTACATGGTTTCCCCTGTGCTGTGTTAACACTTTAGGTGCTGGGTATGCAGTGAGCTCTGTGTGTGGTTATCACTTTAGCATGATATCTTAGAGAAGATTGTTCAGTATATGAATCTTGCACAAAGCTTGCTGTGGATGCTCAGTGTTGCTCTGTATGAGATGGAGGCTGGCCTCTGATTGTATACCAGGGAGTCCCTTCTTTCATTCAGCATAAACCTAGACGCTGGAAATTATTCTGTGCTTTGCATGAAGCTCTGAATGCCTCTGGAATGCACAGCCCTGGTATAATACTAAAGATGAAAATGGAGAGAAGTTTGCTGCAGTTCACTTACTGAGAAGCCCAGAAATGCTTCTCAGCCTGCTGAAGTGCCATCACATGAAAACTTGCAAAGTTTCTGGCCTTTCTGGCATTGGGAGAGGATATGTGAATGTCATCATTCATTTTTAAAAACAACTAAGCAGCTTAGAAGTCTGTAGGAGTGGGGCCATGTGTGAAGAGTTCCAATCCTTTGTGGTTTGGAAATTGTGGCTGTTTTAGTCCTTGGAGATGACCTCAGGATCCCCTTTTGCATTTCTCACTGAGAGAGCTGCTCTCAGCTGCTGGGATGTGGAGCCCAACAGCAGCTGAAAAGCCAGCCATGGGAGGGAAGTGCCAGTTTGTGGGCATCTGGGGTATTCTCAGTTGCTGGCAGCAAAACTTAGCAGCCAAAAAAGTAAAACTGGTCTGGGACCATGCCCTATAAGCCCCTGGCAGGGGCCCTCAGAGCTGTGCCTGCTTAGATAAGCAAGGTCTGGAGAAGAGATCACCTTCAGCTGCTGCTCCTGCCTAACCTGTGCTTGTTCTCACCATTCAGGCACTGGGTTTGGATCCAGTGTCAGTCCCAGCTGTTATTGGCAAAGTATTTCCATTCCTCTTTCCTACTTGAGCACCTTTGTTCACTGATTGCTGCAAGTTTGGAGGGAGCTGGGTGGGCAAATGGACTTCTTTTTGCCAAAGGCCATGGCCCTTGTTTTTCATCCACCCTGGTGAGTCTGGAGTTCTCTGCTTAGGGAAATGAGCTGGAAGTGTGTACAACATGGGCTCTACTGCAGTTTTCTCTTTCTTATTCTTTCCGTTTTGTTTCAGGTGGATGCACTGATGATGCCACTGTGTTAACCATGTGTTAAAGCAGAAGACTGCATCTTGCCTGTATCAGCACAAGTGATTGGATTTGAAAGACTATCCAGGACCTTGTATGAGCACAGCTGCAGGTGAATCTGCATTGGTGATCCAAGGTATACCTAGAAATATTTGTCTAAGAACCCTGCATTTCATAGATATCAAAACTAATAAGCCCCAAGAATCACAGTATCATCCCACCCTATCAATACTTTGCTGAAGTTTTCTAATGATAAAAACAGCCGTGGAAAAACCACACCTGTTTTTGTTTTCTCCCCCCTGTCCCCTGTTTCAAGCATGACATCAGCCTGAGCCCTGCTCATCTGGATCCTCAGCCTTCAGTGCCAGATAACAACAGAGCCAGTGAGGCACGCTTTGTTAGCTTTAATTATGTTCAGTGTGGTGCAGCAAAACAGCTGGAATAATTGGGATAATCTCCCAGCTCGTGTGGGGGGCAGTGCTGTTGAAGGAGAGGGCGAAGTGACAGTGAAGCAGAGCTGGCAGCACAGGAGCAGCAGTGCTGCAGTCCAGGGCATTGCAGCAGCCAGCAGGTTTCAGCAGCTCTCTGGGGAGCTTGTGCCTGGTCTGGTGCAGTGGAAGGTGCATCATCCCAGGCTGTGTTTGCCTGAGGCTCATTCATCCCTGTATAATATGGCACCACTGATTTGGCTGTTTGTGAGGCACAACTCACTGCAGTGCAAATGTGCTGGTCACTTTTTGCACTGAGTATTCGCAAGGTCCTCTGAAAAGAAATTCTGCCCCAAGTCTTGTTCACAGAGTTAATGGAGGGTCACAGTGATGGCAGCTGTGAGCAGCCACTCCTTGAAGCTGGCAGAGAAACCACTCCTGGAAAGCACAGTGAGATCTCCCTGTGCACGCAGGGACTGCAGGAGCACTCTGCAGGAGCAGCCTTCTTAAGGATTTGCACTGCTTTATCTTAATCAAAAACATTTATCTGAGTTTGGAAGAAGTTGAAGCCTGCCCAGGTTTACTCTGCTTTGGATGCAAAGACTGTTTGTAAAATCAGCCAAGAAACAGTGGATCCTCCTCTTAGCTTAAGCTTGCAGTGCATACAGTTCTTCCAGGACCAGACATGTGTGAGGCTATTTTGAGATTTACAGGGTAGAAAGCAGTAAATTAAAATGTCATAACCATAGTGGTTGCAAAATCTTGGAAATCAGAGGTGATACATATTCTCCATCTAGGTGTTATCCCAGCTTGCAATTCTACCTAACCTGGAAATAGGATTTCCTGAAGGTAACTACCCTGTTTGCAGCAGTTACATCCCATTTTCAGCATTTGTCATCAGCCCCTAAAGCAATCTTTCTGATTTGCTTTGATCTTTTTGATTTTGTCTTTTTGATTTTTATAGGTCTCTTCCAAACCAAATTGTTCTGTGATTTTACTTTTGCTCTCCATCACTCTGCTGTCCTTTCTTTCTCTACCACAAGTGATACACCAATTTCTGGAGGTATCTACAGTTCCAAATCAGTCTTGGGACTTCAGATAACTCTCAGGTAATCTCATGTGCTTAAAGCAAAACCAACAATCTTAAAAGTAAGCTAAGGAGGCTATTTTGGCTGCTACATGTATATAGCTGTATAACAAAAACCCTAACATGCCATAGCAAACTTTACTTAACAGATTGCTTAATCTCTACAAATGTTAACCTCCGGGTTTTTATTTACTGAGCTGGTGTTTAATGATGCCATTGTCTAATTGAATTGTGTTCATTCCTTCTCCAAGTGCCACTGCTAAGCAATTTACTGATATATTGCAGGAGGACTGGATGGGATTTTCTTTGTTTCAGAGTAAACTTGGGAGACAGATGGTGTTCAGACAGTACAGATGTGACAGCTTCCATTGCTTTCTTTATGGACTCTTTCTTGCCAACTAAGCACTTTTGTTTTCAAATGGCAAAACTGTAATTTTCACAGGCACCATAGAGAATGGGCAGGAGTACAGGAGGAAGGAGATTTAGATTTGTGTCTCTTCATCAGTGTGGAAATTTACTTCCACAACCAGAGCTGGAGGTTGCTGGAGCCCAGTTCCCATCAGCTCCTGAGCTCAGGCCATTGCAGAGACAGGAGCAGCTTGGAGAGTCCCAACACTTCTGTCCCTCCTGCTGTACTGCTTGTCTGGAGCTTCCAAAAACAAACCTATGGCTTACTCTTTTGCTACAGAAAGAGAGACTGAGGCTCACAGAAGGGTTCTGAGCTGCACAGCAGGGGAAGCAGGGGAGGAGGGCTGGGAATAGAGCCCAGCTGACCCCAGTCTGGAGCCAAGACCAGCCCAGATCCCTCCCTCAAGGCGAGGAAAGCAGAGAGCGAGGGCAGGCAGACCTGGGGCTGCTGGTGGGAGCAGACTCCCACAGCCAGGTGGCATTTTCATTCCAACATTCAAACACCTGTAGATGGGGGACATTCAGAAAAGCACATTTGTTAGCAGTGGTTTATTTCCCCTCAGGTGCATGAGGCAGCAGCAGAACTGACATTTGACATCCTCAGCAGGCTGTTGTTCACCACAGGGAGAGAGAGCCATGGTGTCTGGCACGCAGGGAGGATCACCAGTTCTTGTCAAACTCATTCTCCTGGATTACCACAAAGGTGAAGAGCTCAGCAGAAGAGGTGTAGTTCCATTCCTTCCCTGTAGAGCCTCTTATGGGCAGCCTGACTGCAATGTTGTGCAGCTCAGCCAGGAGATGGGCTGGATCTTTTGCCTCTGACAGTCCTGGGGACTCTGCTGTTGCTGTGGATTTTTTCACTACCAGCTACCTGCCTGCTATTCACACTAAAACACCAGGAGACAGTGATAGGGAAGGCCAGGTCTGGCCCTAGCCCATTTCTTAGAAGTTGTTCACCTTTTGTAAGCCAGTGCTGTCAGCAGTGTTTTAGAGAATGAAATCTGAGCTGCTCTGAAACCCATGGGACTTGTGCCAACTGGGCTGGAGTTTCAGCCTGGAACAAAGACCAGAGCTCTCTGAAATGCTGCAAAATGTGATTTTTTGGCCACAAGCCTCTCTCACTTTTGAATTAAGAGCTGTATTTATTTACTTATTTATTTTTGCAAGGGGCTTTAGAAGCCAATTTTCCTCTCTCTGAAGACAGCTGAGTCTGTGCTGCCTGCATTGGATACTCAGGGCCACTCTCTGGACAGAATTTACTCCCTGCTCTGGCACCAGCCTGGCAGGGCAGATGTGGTTGGAACAAGATCCCTGGTGAACCCAGAACAGAGCTGGGCACAGCTGGCAGCTTAGCACAACACTGCTATGAAATTCAGGCAGCTGCTGCCATGCAGTTCTGCCTGCACACTGCCTGGGGACACGTGGCCAGGGGATCTTGGGGTCTGCCATGCATTTCTGTCTGCACATTGCCTATGGACACATGGCTGGGAAATCTCGGACAGTCCTGGCTCTCTCTAATAGGATTAGCTAGCAACAGTGCTAGAGATACTCAGAGCAGCCATCTGTGGAGAGATGACCCTGTCTCTCTGTGTTTATAAAAGCTGTATAGCTTTAATGTGCTTCTGCTCATGGGCTGTTGTTAATTTTCATTAATTTTGTACCATTCAATGGAGAAAGGAAAGTCTCTGGTTCAGAGCAAAAGCTACCCTAGGACTGTGAGACTTTCATTAATCTGACAGTGGCAAGAAATGTTCCACAGACAGGAGCCTGTGAGAAGGATCCTACTGCTCTGTCTGCAGTGAGGGCATGGCCTGGCACGGGGCTGAGCTGGTGGAAGGGCTCTCTGCTCCCACGGATAAAGGGATGAGCTGTCTGCAGGAAACCAGCTGGGCTTGGCTTTTTCTCTTCCTGATGAAGGTGCCACCTCATCAAATTGCAAATTACTTTGCTGTTAGAGAGCTATGGTTTCAATTCATACAGCTTGAACATATTTTATTGTTTATGAGTTTATGCAAGGAGCCCATTGCTGTGCTGTCTGACTCCAGAGTGCCCATGTAAGGGCTTCTCTTCCTGATGAAGGTGCCACCTCTGTTGCAAATTACTTTGCTGTTAGAGAGCTATGGTTTCAATTCATACAGCTTGAACATATTTTATTGTTTATGAGTTTATGCAAGGAGCCCATTGCTGTGCTGTCTGACTCCAGAGTGCCCATGTAAGGGCTGACAACCCCAAAAGTGCAGTGCCCACACTGCCAGGGACAATTCCCTCTGCCTCACATACAATGCAGTGTCAAACCAGGTAAGTGGGGAAATATTAGAAATTTAGCAACTTAGCACATGTGCAAACGTGCCAACTGGCAGGAATCCTCAGAGCAATAAGATGAAACATTTTGAGTTACAGAACAAAATATCTGTGCTGCAGTACTGAAATACAAGTCTTTAATGTGCTGTTACTGAGGTTTAGTGACAAACCAGAATGAAAGCTATTTTAAAAAATCCTTGCTTCACGTAATGTTGTTGTAGTCCACATCATTGCCCAACATATCATGAAAGACAATATTATCCAGCTTTTGAATTGGTTCAATACAAATTACTTTTCTGCTTCAAATATGAAGAAGCATTTTTCAAAAAAATTGGTTTTGCTTAGATGTTATGGAAAATAAAATTAGCAGACATCAGAACTCTATCTTGGGAAATTTGCTGCAAAGAAGGTACAAGTATAACAAATGTAATTATAAGTGAGTGCTGATAATTTATTTACTGGGATAGTGCCATTGTTAGAGATGTCAAAGTCCTTTTTTCTCTGTTTCTTTTTTGTCTGCACATGTTGGTTTTTTGAATAGGTTTCCATGCTTCCAGCAGTAGGAGTCTCCAAGTTTCTAATGAGGCTGTAAGAAGTACAAGGACTCTTTCATGGGAGCAGGGAACTGGAGTCACACTGGATTTTGGAGTGGAGCAGCCCCCATTTGAGTCTGGCCAGAGGATCTGTGCCAGACTGGGCTCCTGAGTGAGCATTATCCCTTGGCTGGGCTGCATCACACTGGGGTGGCCATGGGGGGTTTAGTTCATTAAGTGACTCTTAGAAAAAACTCTTGTGGAGGAGATGAGAAAGGCAACAGATCTGATGTTCAGTCAAGGACAGGTTCCTCTCTGAGGGTGTCACCATGGAGCTCCTGCCCCTGGAGAACTCTAATTCCAGCA